GGCAGACAAACCAAAACATACACAAGTTGCTTTCCCCCTGCGCTGAGACATTTGAATGGGAGGACGTATCACTGGGTTGTTTTAGAAGACATCATAAGGCTTTGTTATGTACTATGTTGGAGGGGAATGCAGGGAGTTTGTTGGGTGTTTGAGTGTGCAGATTCATCCATGGCCAAATGTTGAATGTTTTGTCTTTCGGGCCAAAGGGTTGACTTAAGTCTCTGTTCAGTCTTCGCATGTCTTGGGGTTGGAGCTTTTAGGCAAAAGTGTTTACCATGTTCAGCACCTTAGTTGAGCATGTAAGCATGCTGCAACTATCATGCTAAACTCTTGGGAGAGACTCTGTGTGCTGTGTGTGATAAGTGTGGTATTCATAACTGAACTGTGTGTCATGAATTAATCCTTTCATGTCAACATCAAGCCGATGATCTGACCAACAAAGTGTCTCTTTTGGCCATGTGACGCCCACATGCCTGGACGTGATGTGAACCAGTGCAGACGTCCTGTGACATCAGGACGTCGGTGCTGGTTCACATCAACGCCTTGTTGACTCTAAAGAGAGCGAGGGGGATCAGTTTGCAGCTCCCCTCCCTTTTCAAGGCTTCATGGAAATCAGTGTAACTTCAGAGGGGTCACAGAGCAGACAGCAGAGAGCTGCACACCAAGCTGCTCCCCAGAATATTCTGTAAGGGGAAAAATACCATGTAGGAACAAACAACATCCCCAAACAACATGTAAAAAGAGCAGCTTTGTTTATGTCTGCTCCTCCCACGGTTGTAATTCAGGGTTCCACAAAATCTACTTGTTGCTTTGTATTGCTTATGATCTGTCTTCTCTTTGTTTCAGGGCTCTGTGGCGCTCTTTGTTTGTGAATCTTCCTCAGTACAATGGAGGCTCCACACAGAGCCCAAAATGCCTGATGTGATGAATTTTAACAAATAAATCAATCTTCAGTATTTTGAGGTGACATCACCACAAGCAACAGTGTGACTTCCTAAAATATAAAACAAAAGGGAATGATCTCAGCGCCTAGAATCTCAGAAATCAACACCTTTGACAGTGAATCACTGCTGCTCTATCTATGAGGAGACATTTAGTACATTTTTTTAGTTCTGGTTAGAGTGCCGTTGCCAGAGGTCAGAATGAATTTCTAAAAAATTTGGACTGAGGTATAGGCCTATGCCTCTTCAGGTTTAACATATACAGATACATACTTCCATCCATCAAACTTATTATAATGAAGATGTATGAGCCATAAGCCATAAGACAAAACAGATGTAATGTATATGTAAGGCCTATAAAGCATGGTCTAATACATTAGTGCATTATAGCTCATTATGAGAATCTATGTCATGGATTATTGATATTGTAGAAATAAAATGTGTCACTGAAGTAAAACATTGCTGCTGTGCAAACAATGTATCTCCCAAAGAGATAAAAAAAAGAAAGAAAAAATTCAGATTGTTTTGGTAAAGAATTAGGAGAGTTTTCCTCCATAAAGGAACAGTTAATCTGATGCATGGTGCAGATGCATGGCTTTTTATCTATTAAAATATACTTTTTTTTTATGTCTGGCTTCTTGTCTAGCACGTTTCAGTGGCATCAATGAACCAAGTGTAGTTTCAGTCAGCTCACATTGTGGCTACCTCTTCAAACACACAGTAAAATTGGTCAGATAGTGCAAATATATTCCCTCTGTGTTAAATGCGTAGAAGGCATATGCAAGCTATTTCCCCTCCCATGCGACATGCACGTGGCCAGGTTGTTTGGTTGGGAGAACTGGCTGCCTGCCAGTTCTGGGGAGAAAGTTTCTCCTCCATAATGTGACAAACATGAAAGCAGCGTTCAGGAATGTATTTTTCTTGGACAGAGTGCAAGATTAGCACATAGCTCTCTCAGAGCTGCAGAGCTGAAAAACAATGGTGGGGGTAAGCTGATGAGACAAGTAAGTTTTGACTTGAACGTATTGCACAATCTTCTTGCTTTCCAGGGTAAAAAAGAACACTATGTCCCACGAAGGCACAACAAGTCAGATGTAAATACTCTTAAAGCAGAAATAGGGCGTGTGGCAGAGACCTCGGTGTCAGATATCCTGGATAATGTTAAAATGTATATAACGGGGAGACTTGAGGACTCACACAGCAGTAATTCCTTCGAAGTTTCTTTGCATTCCTTTGCTTATTTTCATGCCACCACACGTTTCACATTTTGTCTTTAAAATTTAAGTTTGCTAAAAGCAAATGGGCAGGTGAGAATCTTTGGTCCTGCACACCTCGAGAGGGAGGTTTATACACCAGTAGCTGGACAGTATTTCTAATCCCATCAGAGTCAAGTGTCAAATCTTCTGATACCAAACAGCAGCTGAAACGCTCAACATATAACTTAATCAAATTTACACTTCTGTATCAAGCTGCCCTCCCTCCTCCAGGAGGGGATAGGTTTGTTTTCACACAGCACAGACTGGATATTTCATCTGAGTCATGTGGAAGGAGATTAATAACTGAAATCAGCCCAATTATCACCATTTCAGCTTGTATGTGTCTGTGCCAGCTGCTGTTCTGGGTTGTTGTGATTGGTCTGATTCTTTTAAATGTGACCTTCAATTATTGTTGCAGCTTCTGACAAGAAATTATGTATTTAGCAGTACCTGTATCAGCCTGTTAAAGTTCTCTCTCCTCTTGACAGTACTGTTTCTCCAGAAGTAAGAGAACCTCAGTTATCATCATCACTGCTTGAGTGCAATATGTAAAATTGTACATAAGCTGAAACAGGAACTAAAAAGTTATGTCTGGAAGAACAAAAAAAAAAAAAAAAAAACCTGAAACAGAAATAGCTCAGAAAACTAAACTGAAAATGAAGAGAATACTAAAGAATAAATACTACACAAAGTAAAACAGTTCTTCTGTTAAGGGGAAGTAAAACAACCCCTCATGTGGGCACCCAGCTGTTTGTCACTGTTGTCAGAACAGTTGCTTCAGTTTTCTTACTTGCTGCTGTCATGATGTAGCCAACCATAGGATCAGCTCTGGTGGAAACAATGTCAGAGCTAAGCACAGCCGTAATATGATGCTCCTTTTTCATATGTATCAATTTAAATCTGGAAAGACAACATGTGAATGAGAATGTAAGAGCTTTATTTTTTATTTTTTTAAGACTTTGGCACTGACTGTGTTGATTTGATCGATCTAAAGGCACTAAGCCCTTTAAATAGCAGCCAATCAGAGAGCCTCCCCAGGGAGACATAGACACTGGTGGTTTAAAAGATAGGTTCACAAGTTTTCAAGCTTGTATTAATTAATTATTAGTTAACTAATAGTCAGGGTGCATACAGGCATTCAAACAGGCTTTGAATGCTATAATCATTCCCTCTGTTCTGGCTGTTGCATCCGGCCACTCTCTCTCTGACCCTTGACCTTCTAACTTCTGGTTTCCTGTAGTGCTGATTTACTGTAGGAACTGTTCTCCTACATACTCCAGTCGCTCTAGATAAGGGTGTAAGCTTAATACCTACAATGTAAATGTTATTGTGAGTGTAATTCGATTCGGCTTGTCTCGGACTTGTTGTTGCCCCGCCATGAGAGGCTCCTTGTTTGGAGTGATCTGATCTGCTGAGGGGAGGTGTAACTCCCTGCAGGGAAAGACGATGGGCTGTGGTTGGTTGAGACATTAGGGGTCGATGTTAAACTGCCCTGCATGTGCTAAACAAAAGCTGATGGAGAGCAGGGTAACAAGGAGAAAGAACTGAATCACTTTAAAGTAAGCAAGAGGAAAAGGACAGACTTGCTATTGTTTATTGTTTACAGACTCAAATATTTCCATTGGGGGGACCCAGCAGTTATTGTGGTATTCTTGTCATATGTTAATAGGTCAGTCAGGTGTATGATTTTGAGTCAAAGAGGTCAGTGTCCTTTCCTCTTTTCCACCATTCCTCTTCTGAAAAATCACATCTCAGATCTTACACCAAGCATCAAGACATAAACAATAACAAACAACATCCTGGTTTGGAAAACTTTCTATACGTGATTGTAAACTTTTCATTTAAACATCATTATTATGTCAAGACAGACATCTTCTGAACTCCTTTGTTGTTGGGACAAAGGGAAACTTCCCATAACTGGTTGTAAATCTACCTTCTAGTGTTGCACCAAAATCTACAGCTAAAGTGATATTTTTTGTTAGTAAACAGTGCCAACCACTTTCTGTTGGCCCCATGTGGTGCAGATAAGGAAATATCCTGGATAACACTGCACAACCATCCTGTAACTTTTTGACATTTCCCTTTAGTCCAGAAGCTTACTTTGAACACTATCTACACTTCCTTTGGAGGAATTAAAGAATATAAACTCATCTCTGACTTAAGATTCCTGATTATTCATGCTTGTTTCAAACATTTAAGTCATTACCTCTTTGTTCAAACAGTAGAGGTTGAAATGATGAGACGGCCATGCTGTCTGGTTATTAGCAAATACTTTAAGTCCCTATGTTTAGCATTCATAAACATCTATAAACATGTAATAAATGGTTTATAACATACTATAATGTAGTTGGAAGCAGTGTTTGTTAATTAATGTGTCAACAACCCTTCCTGTGGGCATACATAAGTCCAGGCTGGTGTATAAACAGATAATGAATGGCAATATAGTAAAACACATAATACAAAATATTACTCCATAGGAGAAGTTATAATTGTTAAAAGTACTGTACATAAAAAAACTGTTAAAATGTACTTTAAAATGTTGTTGCTTTTTACAACTACATTATAGTGCGACATAAACTATTTATTAAATGTTTGTTTTTTTGTGCTGTACTTCAGATGTTCTTTAACCGACTATCAGATCATCCCCGTCACCATGGTATCCCACAGGGGTCAAATTGTGGTAAACTTTATTTTGCTGTCGCTCCGGTTCTATAGGTTATATAATGCATCTGACAAAGTGAACACAGAATCTCTCTGTGGGTTTTTAAATCATGTTCACTTCTCACAGCTCATCCTCTTATGGTCTTCCCTCGGGAGGAAATGCTATCCTGGGTTTTGACGTCAGGCTTTATGGGTAAGTAAAACAAAGACTAATCGAGGGAAGAGCCTCCATGTAAACAGAGTTGTTGTCACTGTCAGTAGGATTTAGATGAAAAGACAAACATGGGTTAAGGTCAAGTTTGGAGATTTGAGAAAGAATGGGAGCAAGAGAATGACATTTAGACTTATTTTTCTTGATAAAATAAATAGTGAAAGAAGAAATAGTGATTCAGTGTAAATGGAAATGGTCTCCATAGAGACCACTACTTTTGCCTTTTGCCTTTCAAATGCATCAATAAAGTCACGTTTAAATGTAATAAATTCTAATTATTTATCACCAGTGTGAATTTGAAGCAGTAGTTTGTGTGGCCTATTTGCAATTAAACCCCCCTTTGGCCTTGTGCAACACCAGACAACAAATTTTAGGTTCCTCCAAGATGAAAGGATTTTGTAAAAGAACCACAAAAGTGAAACAATACAAACTGAACCCATCATTTCATCACTCAAAACATTAACAAACAATTCAATTCAAGGTAAATAAAACAGTTTGGTTGCAGTAACGTTAAAGTTGTAGTGATTGTTGCAGATGATCAAGGCTGTCAGAGCTGAAGATAAATGTGGCTGCTGTCTGACCTACTCTCTTCACACTTACTGTATCTGTTGTTATGTTCTTCCTCAAAGTCATGTCTCTTCCACTTTACATGCTCTGTGCATACATGTAAGTTTTGGTAACTTGTGATCTTCTGGTTACAGAAATGTACTTTCTGTTGTCTGCATTTCACAGTCTACGATGGAGATAATATCCTAGGACAGGAGTAACAGTTATCTTAAAGTGATAATGTTGTTTGTGGTCAAGAAGGAAAAGTGTAAATGGACTGAATTGTAAAAAACGTTAATATTTGCAACATACAGTGATGGCTTTCCTGGATACAGCTTCCTCTCCATTTGGCTCAGGTTGAGTAGACTGGTATCAGCCAATGGACAATGTAGTTATGATGGTTGTGGTTTATGTACTCTGTACATTGTGCACTTTAAATATGTCTCTGTCAGCATAGACTGATTGAAAGCAGAGCAGTGATCCATTTTTAAACTCAGTGTTTCCTAGATGAGTGAAACTGATTCCATTTTGGTCAGTACACTGCTCAACACCTTAAGAAATTAACAAAAATGAAAGAAAGAAAAAAAAATCAATACAAAAAATCCTGTAATCTTAGAAAATGGAATGAATCCCATCATTTCGTCCTACAAGAGGAACCAGATTTTGATTAGTTCTTCCACTTTTCTCAACAGGCAACCACCCCCAGTCTCACTGTTAGTTTACTTGTCTCAAAACAAAAAGTTCAAAAGTGACTTTCTGTGATGTGAAGAAAAAAAAAGCTTCTGAATGATGTAGACAGTTACATGGCACTAAAGGGGAACACAACAACATTTTTGGTGAATCAGAGACAAAGCAGCTACAGAAATCTAACGACAAAAACGGGAATCTGTTTATCATAAACCTGCAGCATGTCTCCTAGTTTATTGTGAAGAACCATTGTTTATACAGTCAAGGTATTGTGAAATATCACACAAGTGAAGCAAAATCTTCCATTCACTTTAGGGCAAATAGCACATCACATGAAGTTGTGTCAAAGTTACTTAAGCCATCTAGTAGAAGGAGGTCATTTCAATAAGCTTTTTAAAAAGTACATTCATACTTTACACCTCATTAAGTTGTATGAAAATATAAATTTTTTTGCATTATAATGTATCACTGATGTTGATACTTTACGCCTATTTAGCTGCATTTCATTGGTTAAACATATATATTTTTGCAGTGCGTGTTTGTTTTGTGGCCTCAGGCAGCTTTGGTATGTGGAGCTCCAGAAGACCAGTGCATGAGGTGTGTTGTGCTTCTCCCATTGGCTCATGTTGGATGAGGTGGTGTGATGGGGGGGAGCGAGGGGGTTGGTGATTGCATCCCTGACTCATGACTCAATGTTTACATGTGCACGTGCAGCTGTGTACTGGCTTGCATTAGCCCCTGTGAAAAAGTCCAGCCAAGTATAGTGTGTCACCTTGAAGTTCTGCTGAGAAGCTATGAGAGGTTCAGTTTGCGGACATGACGCAGAGGTTCATGCTGCGGACACAAGGTTTTTTTTTTTTTTACAATTGTGAACAAAGGTTTTCAAAGTTTCTCTATCTGTTTCCCTTTCTGTTTTTCTACCATGTGATTTGTGTCTATGTTAACAGGAAAAAATCTGCACAGAGACGCATTGTTAAAGTTATTTAGACAAATGGGTGATAGCGGTGTGAATCTAACCGGTTCATTCCAGTTGTTGGGGGAAAAGACTCATGAAATGTGGTTTAATATTAAAGTAATTTCTGCACATGCGCAGATTTAAGCTTCTCTCTTGAGCCTTTCCTGAGAGGCAACATTTTGACTTTAAAGTCTAAAGTTTTCCTTACCTTATAGTCCTAATGTGTCATATTTGCATGCAAATATCCAAATGCTCAATTTGCAACAGCAAATAAATTTTTGGTCTAAACATATTATTTGAACCTGAATTCAAGTTTTTATCACAATAATGAGGAAACACTGATAATGAATATACAGTATGTGCCAAGTCACAAAATGTTGCTGGACATATCTGCAAAATGTTCACTAACAAGATTATTTATTTTACTTTCATTACATTAATTATTCATTCTGGCAATACAGTATCCATAGTTTTTCAAGCTCAGGACTGTTTTCTTTTACTCTCTTTGTGATGCTTTTTAAATCCTCAGGTTTTCATGGATGCAAAGGTCATAGCTGTGAATGAATCATTTAAAAGTTGGGCTGCAGTTTAATATTACAGTATTAAAATAGTTTTTATGGAGTCCTGAACTTTGTGCTTCTTTAATGTTAGCCTAACGTAACTGTTATGTAACAGTATTACTGTACAGGACCTAGAATCCATTAAGCCATTTTCAATGACCTTGGTGTTTGTGTGCACTATCTCAGGTGTTTTCTACCTTGTAGGAGACATGCAGGTCATAAACTCATCTGTGCAGGGCAATAAAGTTGAGTCTGTGGAGGGAGGAGAAACAGAGAGTGAGATGGCAGAGTATTTAAATGGTCCCTGTATCACATTCATGCCCCGAAGTCAAATATGTCCTGTGTTTTTTTATCATTCACAAACCGCAGACTCTATTTTTAGTCAGACAGAGAACAGAGAATGGGCATGCTGTGACCTGACTCTGACTCTCATCGGTAGCTTTAGCATGTAACTTCAGGAGGATAAAAGCCTTGTTAGCTGTACATTTTGTTCTGTTCTGTAACCACATCTTCTATTGACAAGAGGAAGTAGACACACGCTTTACCCACTTTACCACATCCGCTGAAATGAAGTTGTCATGAGGTGATGATGACAGGCAGGATTAAGATTTATATCTTATAAACGGTTGTCTTTCATTTCTTTTTCATATAGCACTTTTATTACCCATTCAGGATCACAGAGATATATAAGGGGTTTCAAATTTCAGGACTTCAAAATAAAAAACTTGTAATCACATCAGTGGCTCTCTCTGGTTTATTAATACATTTTCTTAAGATGACTCCCATTTTTAAAGCTGCACTGATCAATGTTTTTATTCATGTTAGCAGCATGGCTCAAGGGATGGTGATGATAGTCTGTTGTCTGCCCAGACTGAACTATAATGACCAAATATTAACATAGCATAAACATTAAGGTACAGAGCCTCCCTCAGTGACTGGAGGGGGGGGAATGCATGACCCTCCCCTCACCATAAATAACCATTTTATAATATTCACACCAAAGGTATTGGAGAAAATACAAAGCAAAGACTCGAAAACAAAACTTTACATTGTATTGCACGCACAGCAACACCGTGCAATGCATAAATTGGTGAATCGGCATTAAAACAACCAACGTAGTACAAATACAAAGAAAATACATTTCAATATTGTAGGAATTACCCAACTTTTCCAGTTAATTCTCCTAAATTCCCCTTAATTCCCATAATTTCCCATTAATTCCCATAATTTCCAATAATTCCCATGCAAGTTTCCAAATTGGAACGTTTCCAAAATTCCCCAGCTTATCTTTCCAGGGAAAGTTTACAGAAAGTTTCTGGAAATTTACTGGAAAATGTCCGCCCCTTTGCAACCCTAGTCCAGCCAATGCAACAAGCACAGAGCGGGTGAGAGTTATCACAAAACAACTAATGCAAATTGAAAATATCTTAAATTGCATCATCACTCAAGCTGTGTGCCCTTCACCATATGGGACTCACTATTGTCATGCATTGACAACGTCCAGTGGGCAGTTCAAGTTTGGCGTGAGCTCCAATGAGGTAAAGTTAAGGGTGGGAGATACCAAGTTTAGTGAGTTGCGTCACCATACAGTGGTAAAACACATATTTTAAAAAGAAAAAAAAAATTTTTGAAGTGCAATTTACGAGCATTTTAAGTTGTATGTCCCTTCTTTATTGCCAAAATAAGTAAGTCCCTCCCCAGTGCCATGACAATCTTAGCCTAAGCTGCTTTTAATGACGCAGATGTCTTAAACATCTTTCCAGTTGTTGGTATGTTTACCTGACATTCACATCATCTCAATCCAGATGTTAAACCAAACATGAGGCTCTACTCACAGCCATTCATCAAAACATTAGTGCAAGGAGACGGTGGAGGCCGTGGATGTTGTGCTGCTCATACCAACTCCTCCAAGATTTAGTGGGCGCTTCCTACATCAAACACAAGCTCAAAATGGATCCCAGATGATTTTGTACATAGCAGAACTGTCCTCTGAGTCTTCAGCACGGAACATACGTGACATGTTATGTCTGTTTACATTTAGCTGTAATGTGGAAGGAAAAATAGGAGGCAAAAGGGACGCTGGGAGCATCGTGCTTCATTTAAAGGGGGAAAAAAGGGTACAACCAAGAGAAGCTTGAAAGTGTTCAGCTATATCTTTTATATTTAAGTGGAAAACAGACTAGTTCCATTATTACAAAACCATCATAGGATTAAAGTAATTCACTTCAGTGGAGCTTTCATACTTGTGGACATTTATACAAGCTCATGATTGGATAGTTATCAATACTAGCTGCCCTAGACATTCACATTCATCACCTTTAACTTAGATATGCTTTAAATATTCAGAAATTTGTGAAACAAACAAAAACAAAATTAATAAACTTCTGACAATCCTACACCAACAACTCTAAAGACAGGGTAATATAAGTAAGATATTGAACGTTTTTGTTGATTAAAATTAAAGAGAAATACAATATCATTAAAGCAAACATCTGTGTTTTGGCCTTCAGTTGTATTTTAGGGATTTAAATCATTTTGAGTCCATTTACTGATTCTGATGGTTCTTAATTAGCCTACAACTTGTCTTGCATGTAAAAAAATGAAACCAAAAGTATTTACTGTTCTCAGTGCTGATAATGTACAGACATTAGATAAAGCTGTGGTCAGCAAGTTCATGCAGTGCTGCCAAAGGTGGGGTGGTTTGAGATAAATAGAAGTGTGATGCAAAATATCCTGAACTGAATACCCTGCAGATAGACTTATTTGTGTGGAAGAGACAACACATCACCAGCCCTAATAAAAACTATCCATAAATCTACTCCAGACCCCAACATAAATCGCTAAAAATGTCATTGTGCCAGACGGTTTACACGTTTACACAGGTTATCTCCTCAACTGTGACTGAGATAAGACTCACTGTTGTTAAGTTGGCTTTACTAATGTGAGTGTAAACACAAGTCTGGACTGCAGCACTTACACCTCTGTATGTAGGCAGACTGTTCTTTAATTCATTTTCATTTCAGGTATTTAGCTGATGCTCTGCTCCAGAGTGCAGGTGAAATAAAATAAAATTAGCTTCTAGTTCTACATCACAAACATCTCAGTCACAGGCAGTGTCTGTAAATTAGGAAAGATATCAGTGCCCCCACAGACACTTTTTTCTAATTCAAACATTGCACTGAGAGACTAATAATATAATATATGTAACATAATAGTGGGTTTGTCTGATGATTATACATTAACGTAGTGAGGTGAATCAGTGTGATTGGAAATTGCTGGACTGACTGGTTGGTATGAAAACCTGCTGTATCTCTCTGTGGCTGAGGCAAGCCTGCTGCAGACAAGCAGTTGTAAAATGTCTCTGCACTGCTCCTTTTGAGTCGCCAGCGCTGTCAACACCCCTTTTGATCCTGATCACTGATGTCAGAATACCTGCCAGCTTGGTTGTTAAACAGATTGATGGTTTAAAGGCAGCTCTTCAACACAGTTAATGTAGATAATGTGTGTCCCCTCTGAGCTCCAACCACTGAGTTGTTTAAGCAGATTAATCAGGTTGGACTGTAATTATAGCCTGCAGATTTTAGACAGGTGTTCATGGATAAGTGGGGTGTTTCTTCTTCTGCTCCATCAATATGGTCTGCACACATTCATGTCTCCCTCAAGATGATTTCATATAGCCAAAGGTCAACATTTGTTCAGTACTTTGGTTTATGCCCAAAAATGAAAACTAAAGGCATTCCCATCAGCCTCATCTGTACCTTGTGTTTATGTCTCTATGTTGTATACTAAACTGCGATGGTGAAACAATTTGCCAAACATCAGCATGTTAGAATTGTCATTATGAACATGTTTGTAGCATTTAGCTCAAAGCACCGCTGTGTCTACCCACAGCCGCTCAGAACTGCGAGCATGGCTGCAGAGTGTTGTTGGAACAGCATGTTGCTTTTACTAACTACTGCTTATACTTTCTGCTGCTCTCTGTTTGTTTTTCATCTCTTCATCCACACGAAGCCTCAACGCTGAGAGAGTAACAACAACTCGCTGTGATGTCACGATTGGAGGAGTATGCTGTTTTTGTTCAGCTCGTCCCCCTGGAGAGGCTACAGTGTCAGAGGTTTGTACAGCCGAAGATGTTTTTATGTTTTTAAAAAATCCTGTCCTGCCTCTGTTTGGTTAATGGATGTGAGAGTACCGGGTGCTTTTAAAAACAAGTTTATATAAAAGCAATCAGAAAGAGACATAATAACACGGAAAGAACAAGAGACACATCACCATCATTAGCATTAACCAGCCTTACCATAATGGGCAGATAGGCAAACATATTCATATATTAACTAAATATATGATTTATTTCAGTATTTTAGTAGATTTAATAATATCTTCAATAATTTCAGGAAGGTTCATTGTTATTTTTGTTGTATTTTATGGCATCATTATTGGTTCTCCCCACAGTGTTTTTTTCTTTTGGCACGTGCTGAGGTGGTGATTTCCTCGACTAACACGCCCTCAGAATTTTGGAGAGTGGATGTGAGTTTGTGGAATTATTGCCTGTTTGCTAACGATAGAGGGGGTTACACAGAGTACAACCTCCCTCCTCTCTCACGACCACAACCCTATAGGCCCACGCCACCCTCTTCCCCCTTCCACCCCACCCACAGGCTCACAGCAAACTGCTACTTCAGAGGAAATCCTGCTGGTCCCGTGTCGAAGGGCAACAAAACAGGCTCTTCTCTGAGCTGGTGAGCGTGCAGGGACGAATCTGAGGCCAAACACCCCCTCATCCTCACCTCTCTGTCTCCTCTCTGTCTCTCCATCTATTCCTCCATCCCTCCCTCTCAACTCTCTCCCAGTTTGTTTTTCACTGAAAGGAAAGCTGAAACCTGTCGAGTTTGTTTTTCTCCTTTTCTTGGCCAAGTGCCTAGTTTCAAAGCCCAGGTGTTGGCGAACAGGGAGTCATCTTTCAGAAAAACACAAGGTGGATCGCTGGGTCATGGGGGAGGAGTGGAGGGGAGGGAAGCTGTGACTGGGGTTTGATTTTGATGTTTCTCTAATGTTTGAATGTTTTTATCTTTCAGATTGGTTGGACAGTCTGTCAGCTGCCAGTCAAACAGTCAAAAACATATTCTTCTTTGCTGATTTGATTTGTAATGACAGTCCTCTGCAATGAACCTTTACCTGAAAGTTAACAAAACTTTCAGGATTTGTTGAGATAGAAAACATCTCTCCCATCATACTAGAAGACTTCTTGTCCTACAGTGACAGACAACTCCCATTAAGATAACAACTTTTTCTCGACAACAATTATTTATACATCTGTTGTACTGCTTGTGTACAACTGTTTTTTTATCTTGATAAGGAGAGAACAAACAAACAAAAGATTACAGGGACTACACAGTGGAGCCCGACCAATCACAACAACAGGCTACATAATATTAGCCTGATCCCACCCTTTTCTGCCCACTTGAGAGGGAACATTTTGACATACAATGTGGGATTTATTTGGTGTGTTTTAATCCAACAGGTAATGATTTTCACCTGTGGGTGTCACCTTTTTTCTTTAACTACAGAACAGGACATTATTCATGTAACTTAATGTATAAAGTTTTTCAACATACACACTTTTTCTCTTTATGAGATATGAATATTTTTGTTGTAGGGAACTGTTACTACTGAAATGACCAAAAAGAAGCCATGATGAATACTTTCAAGTCCAGTGGACTTTTGAATGTTTGAGTGAAGTAAAAGCACGAGACACCAATGTAGATGTTAGACTCAGAGGCAGGTCAGGAAGGGTTTTCCCAACATTTCAGGAACCAGTTTAACATCTAAATACCTGGATGATATCATTGTTAAAGCACTAAGAAGTAAGCTGGAGTTCCCCTTTAATTTCAGCCAGACAAGTGTTATTACTGTCATGTTGCATCACAGTGACTGTGTGTGATGTGTTACCCTTACTGGTAGCACTAATCTGTAGCAAGAAAATAAACTACATTTTAAAAAGTTTAATACTCTCTACTGTAAGAGTAAGTTGTATTGTTTAGAGTGTTTTATAATAACAGGAAAGCTATGTATGCAGAAAGAGTAACACACTGTTAATGTTCTTTCAGTTGAGGACTGTCACAGTAGCTCTGTGTCCCTGACAGTCCAAACCCACTCCTCTGGAAAGAAGAAACTCAGTAGGGAATCTTTTGGGGAAACAGAACTGGGAAAACAGATTCAACCCCTGATGTACCCCCCTGACATCCATCCACCAGAACCCCATGGGAAACCTCAAGGCCTCCTCCTCCTCCTCTCTGCTCCTGCTGCCAAAAGCCCAGCTGGAGAGTCATAAGGTCACTCAGCTGATTTAATCCCCGGTCCAGGTCACATAAACACACAACAATGGGAAAGCGACCAGTAGAAGTTGACTTGAATGTTCTGAAGATTGTCATGAAACTGAATTTATTCATTTTTGGCAACAAAAATATGTTGTTTTTTATCCTGAACCACGAACTGAACAGAAACAGCTTCTTTAGTACATGACAGTAAAGTTCAGAAATGTTATCTAATTTGTGTTTACTGATGCATCAGAACAAGCTGCTGCATAAAAACCAGACTCCTTTGATCTTTTACAGCATTACAATGCCTCACAACAAGTTGAGCGTTTCAGTAATTTTGCAAAAGGGCTTAACATTTGTTTAATATAATCTCACTTTATCTTGATGTCATCAGGACTGAAGGTCACATAAGTGACCCTATTTGGAAACAAAAGCCCTGTGTTAAAGAGTATCTTTTATTTTTCAACCTGAAGTGACTAATGGGAACAACAATTTTAGAATTTGGTCCAGTACTGAGGGAGAGGGCTGTGGCCTGCAGTCGCAAAATGGGCTGCAAAATGTCCTTTCTGGACAGCATTCATCCTAAAGCTGCAGCCAGCCTGCAGGGTTTCATAATTCTGCAGCATTGCATCTGTCCTGCATTACACTGTGGCCACACCGCACTCATTTTCTTGTCTGTCAAATGTACAGCAATACTTACAATGCACAGAACTTTGCAAAACAACTGCAAGGGATTATGTAAGAAGACTCTGGTCACGCAATAGTATAACCTGAGACTAAGAATAACAATGTAGTGATGCTGGAGAGATTGTACAGTTGGAATGGCAAAGGAGAAAGTACTTAAAATTAAAATGAGAAAAAAAAGACATAGAGAGACTGAGAGAAGGACAGAAAGAACAGAAAAACTAAAAGAGGGTCAAAGACAGCAATTTGTTTTGTACACCTCTTTTTCCTTATCAGTGTCTGTCAGGTTGTGAATGTATGCTGTGACGAGAGCAAGACTGGATAGGTGATTTCATCTTTGGGACTAAAGCACGATGAGGACTCCCTGTACCTGAAACCACTGAAGCACAGGAATGCCTCTAACACAGAAGGCCTATTGTGGGTTCATATCTGATCTGAAATCAGCAAAACCGGCCACCGAATAGAAAAACAGCCAGACTCTTGGACGGATGGAGGAATGAAGACAAACAGACAAACTGGGTGACCTGCAGTGAGAACACAAAGTGCCAGACTGTCGAGGTCTGACAGGTGGATTAGCTGTAAGAACATCCAGAAAACAAAACCCTCCAGGTTAGCTTCTGCATGTTCAAGTCCTGTAGAGCAATACATATCGTCGTAGGATATTATATAGGAACAGCATATGATAGGGCATGATATATAAAAGACACATGAACATTTTTTAACTATCCATCTTTGAAAGCTTGGTTTTATTCCATGAATTGTGATTCTAAATGTGATTAATTAATGCATAATGACAGAAATTGTGGCCCTAAAGAAAACAAAGCTATGCTGTGCTTTAATCAGCCAATCACAAACAAGTATTTCCTGTTGCCAAAGTGGTACATCTCACCTGCATAAACAAGGACATGTCAATAATGTTGTCAACACACACTGGATGCTTTGTGATCAGAGAATGAGCCAGGTGCAACTCACAATATGTACAGTGTGTTCAAATTTATGAGGAAGTCACACACATAGATGTCACATTAAAGTCTAATGTGATGGTGATCCCACTACTAAGCTTTAGGTGATAGTGAGTTCGCCTGGACCTACTGTAAGTCACTTTGTTAAAGTTTCTTTATGTTCTTAAATATATGCTAAAAAATATAATAAATAAGATATAAACAGAAATCTACTACTACTTTACAGTACAGTACATGCAAACACACACACACACACACACACACACACACACACACACACACACACACACACACACACACACACTCAAAGAGATATTTTAATATGCAAAAATGTTAATGAAACTATGTATCCGTGAACAGGCACCAAATTAACAAGTAACACACCAACATGTGCACAGTAGAACAATTATAAATACAGTAGACAGAGTGACAACTGTTCTGCTGAATACCAGGCATATACAAATCTGCACACACACACACACACACACACACACACACACACACACACACAGGCTTCATCTGTGCAACACCAGCTGTGTTGAGGCTCCAGACATTTAAGTGTGATAACATATGGAGGATGTGCGTGCCTGTGCCAGTATATGAGTGAGAGTGTGTGTGGGCGGCCTTTCTGCATGTTTTTGCTTGTTTGGACTGGTGTGTGTCTGTATTTATTTGTGTGTGTCTGAACTAATTTGTGTGTGTGTGTGTGTGTGTGTGTGTGTGTGTGTGTGTGTGTGCCCGTGTGTTTGACTAGTGTGCTTACAAACTGTCACTGCTGTTCAGTCTGCTTGTCAGTGTGTGTGGATATCATGGCAGTATAAGAAGAATCAAATTGGGACGAGAGGGATGAGACTGTGGCAGAATTTGGCTTATGCAGAGTCACAAGTGAATACATGCAATACATGATTTATTGTGAAAAGAACACAAATGATTAATACAAAGTTACACAAAATTAGAAAATAAATATTAATACACTTATTAATACATAGAGAAGTGGATAGCTGCACCAGTAAACAGAATAACAGTACAAGCACACTATTTATAGATAATATAAAACAAGCCTTAAGGTGTGTTTCCAGGGTGCATGTGCATGTGCAGAAACCTGAAACAACAAACTAAAGTCTCTTTATAATGACACTTGCCTGCAGCAGTCAGCAACAAAGAACAGCTTTGACCTTTGACCTCTTTAGTGCCGACAGCCTGTTATATTTGTGACAAGATTTCTAAAGTGATCCTACTCTTGACCTCATTAGAAATCAGCAGTGTCACTGTGCATATTCTCTACATGTTATTTAGTCTAATTGGACTTTGTTTCTATTCAGGAGAATTCCTGTACAAATATCGTGCCATGCAGAGACTTGATATGAATCTGGTGCACAATTTGCGTCATTTCACAGACATTTCACACGGAGTGCGTGTTTCTTTCAGACGCTCATCTCATACTCTCACTTTCACTCTTCACCACAGCTCATATTATTGGCGAATATTATTATATTATTTATATTATGCATGCTTTTTTTCTGTAATCTATTTAGCTATTTGAATTTAGTAAAAATTAGATTGTTCTCTATGTATCTGTGTCCCTATATTTTATCTTATTGTGTATCATATTGGCATTAGTTATATTATGCTTCTTGTCTGTGGAAATTCCCTGTTGAAATTGTGAAAACATACGAAAAAAAATGAACTGTCATGCGTTTTCACAAGACTAACATGTTCAAACATGAGCTGCAAAACCTTGCAAAGCAGCACTGGAGAAATTCGATTTCAGCATCAGCCTCAACAACAAAGGGGAAGTGAAACTAAAAACTCTGTGTGTGTGTGTGTGTGTGTGTGTGTGTGTGTGTGTGTGTGTGTGTGTGTGTGTGTGTGTGTGTGCGCGCACGTATGTGTGTCTGAGGATGCAGGCAGCAGGGAACATCAAGCTCCACCCATCGCTGTATCTCATTGGCTGTGCTGTCGTCAAGCACATTTAATAAGAAAACAAGTTGCTGCTCAGCCAATCAGGACAGAGCTAGAATTTCCCCTGACATGCCACAGTGTCTTATCTGTGGTGACATCACATGGCCCTTTAAACGGCAGACCACAGACCGAGTTTAAATGGCTTGATGTGACACACACCTAGAAAAACAACAAAAAAAAAGTTTCAGACCTGTGTGTGCAAAGCAGTTTGTTTGACAATTGCTCTACTGACAGGCTCCTCAGTGGGGCAAAGTTTATGACAATGACACCTTGTGGCACATATATATGTGTATTATATATATATATATATATACACACACAAATATATATATAAAATGTAAATGTATGTAGTTCTCAAAGGAGATTTGCTTGTGTTTTTAATGGCTGTAAAAGACACCTGTTAATGATTCTAGGGACCAACAGTTGGAGAGGGCCAATAAAAATCCAGTATGTTTATTTTATTTTATGACAAAGTATAGATATTCTTTTGGGCTGAGGCCTTCAATTCTAGATATGGCTCTGGATCTGATAGTCTTCTATATGAATGTACACTGATGTTACCTTTGAACCATGGTTATCATTATTATTTCCCTGTTAGCTGTCAATATATTCAAATAAGGGTCAAATAAGATAATTTCCTGTGTTTTTTATACTTGGAGAATAGTGGTTGTGGAATCCAATGTAACTTCTATTTAACCATTTTAGGAGTTAAGTAGTTTGGTTTTAATAAAAAAAGTACAATGTAAAAGGCCAAAATTTTTCTGTCTTTGCCTTTGCACTAGTTTAGTCACCGTGGACTTTTTCTACTTTTGTGTTACGTAAAAATAAGCAACAACATTGCGTGAATGAGAAAATTCAGTTCTGCTTTTCATTACAGTAATGCCCAAGCTTACAATCATCCACAATCTAAGCAGTGGGCAGCCATAGTGCAGGTTCTATGAGGCCATTTGAGGTCAGTTACATGGTGAAGGACAATAGAAAGATAATCACCAACATCCCATATGCATCTCTTTTGGTAAATATGATGAGACATAAACATGTGGAGAACATGCAATCTCTATACATAAATGAGCAGGGCTGAGATTTGAGTTATGAGGTGACACTGCTAACCCCTTAGCCAATGTGCAAAAGTAATCAAAATTATAATTATAAGCACTATAAACAGATCAAGCCATGGTAAAAAAAAATTGGCTATCTCTGTGTCACACCAGTGGAAACACATTTCCTATAAAATGTGTTTGCGAGGGATGGAATCCAGGTGAGGGGGCAGATAGTTTGTTTACGACCTTGCAGAAGGGAAACCGGGACATCCAGCATTGGGTAAAAGGTCACAGCCAAACTGGTGACATGGTCAGCACAACTAACTCTGCAGCCTCTTTTTGTCTGAAGGGCTTCTGTTCCAAATTGCTATATATATCCACTCTGAGAGAGCTGACACAACAGACTGGCATCGCGTCATCAAGTGCCAGTCGTCAAGGCCAAAGAATCACACTTTTAACTAACAGGAAAATGCCAAAAAGCTGTTGTGGAGCAAGTTGTAAAACAAATAAACATACAAATCCAGATCTCCGGTTCTTCCTGAAGAGGAAAGAGAACCTAAAAGGAGAGCAATAAGAATGTATGAACCTCCAGAAAGTATTTTGGCAGGAGTGTAAATTTAGATACTTATAAATATGAATTAGCTTCTGTTATTTAAAAAGTGCAGAATAAAAAAAAAAACTAGGAATAAGCAAGGCTTTTTTACGCTGAGATTTGAGGTGCATAAGATACATGAATATTCACTGTCAGAGTGGTAAATAGCTAAATGATGCTGCTTACAGTTTCTTGTTGGGTCACAGATACTCTGAGACGGGGGAAGACTGAAGGAGCATGGCAGCTGTCTGATTAACCTAACTCATTGGGGTTAGGGTTATTGCGAATGCTCTGGTTCAGGTAAGGTAGCAAAAATAATTATTAGACATCACTACACATGTTAAGAGTTTTTGAACTCAGTATAAACATGACAAAGTCACATATATGTTATTACAGGATTCCCAGAACATCAATTTGAAAATCACAATTCAGGACTTTCTTATGCCCTGCATTTAATAAATATATTCTGATTTCACACTTGCGAGATTAGAGAATATACACTCTATAGAGTTAAGTGTCAATGTAGTATCTGAAACTGTTAATAAAGCTAAATGAGTGTGCAACTGAAGAAACAGAATTTGATTTTGAGAACAAAACTTGATGTGACCTTTCAACTGAGTAAAGTTTGTACTTAGTAAGTTACTAAGTTCTCTCCCCGAACCTGCTCCCTGTGGGTTTCTGCAGGTGGAGATAGAATCAGCTGCACACGTCCCCATGCTGCCGGCAGACACATACTCCAAAACACACAAACCCACTGTGATGCAAGTTGTGCATGAGAGGAGAAAAGTGTTTCCTCTGCTTCCTGTGTTCCTCAGCTCTAAGCATGTGACTGATCAGTTGGCGGAGAGAACCCCCCCCCCCACTCTAATACTGGGAATTAAATATTTTAAATACACTTTTTGTTATTCCACAATGCCATCTGCTGAATATATGGTCAAACCTAACATCCTACATGCTCACTTACAGTTAGGCAAACAACACTTTACATAAAAAGGGGGACACACTAGTGCAAAGACATAAAAAGTGCATGCTGTGCTGCGTGTATTTTTACAGCGTGACAGCATCTGTCCTAATTTGAGGATGTTTTGTCACATTTTCCCCTTTAAACTCCAGAAAGGGAGTTGAGCTAAAAGAGTGTCCTTGAGCGAGTGGGAACTTAATGGGAAGTTGGCTCACCAAAATACCTCCCAGCTCTCCAACAACAGGAAAAGGCCTTGTAAACTTGGACCACTCTGGCTAAACGTTGTATTTGCTCTCAGAGAAACACATTTACACAAGGTGGCTAAAAACATTTTACTGCAATTTGCAGATACCATTCAACTCACCAGCCTTAAATAAAAAACAACACACGTTTTAATTGCAGAAAAGTCGGTCCCTAACACGAACACCAGCCAACCCCATTAACGATGGTTCATTAACAGGACAGCAAACATAGGTGTTTGTGTTAACTGTTTGTTAGGATCATCTTAGTCTAAACACAAAGAACCAAATTTTCTCATTCGGTTACAAAGGCCTGGTCAAAAACAGTTATACATCCTATTTTCTGCCACTGTGTATATACAGCTCAAGATAGTTCAAGCTCAGAGCGTGTCTGAGGGACAGAGGAGGAAATGCGTATGTGTCTGTGAATATGGTTGTTTTTTTCGCTCTTTGTGAGTACCACTGAGTAATAATCCTCCAGAGTTAACTGAGGTTATTGTGGAGCGTCTTTACCTCTACAAAAGACAATTGTAGTAAAAAGACGAGCATTTGAAATGAGATTAT